GATGATTTGCTCCGAGTCTTTCTGGTTTTATTGGATACAGTAAACTTTAAAGTTTATTACGAATGCAGTAGCGCATTTTCCAATTTCTTGCTCACACCAGTCATTTTATTTTTAACTAATGGCACAAATCGAAAAAAACACGGTATGGTCAACATTCAGAAACCAATTATGAATCATGTCGTCCGCATGAAAGACTCATCACGTCTCTACCTAATCAAGTAACCTATTCCCAACTGAAAAATGGCCAACGCGACCAAGGAGGGGAATTTAAACGATACAAAAAAGTTGTCATGGAAAATTTTAGATCGATAGTGGCGACTGAGACTCAGAAAGGCGAACGCATGCGGATGACAATCGTGCGCGTTGGAAAGAACGTGAAAGTTTGATTAGAGCTGATCCACAGCAGCTACCGCTATAATCAAAGGACCCATAGAAAACAGTGCTGGAAAATACTTATTATACTCGATAGGGTTGACGAGTCCATGATGATGATGATTATTGATGCTTGTTACTCTTTAGATTGGCATTATTTGTGGTATTATTTCTGACAGTATTCAAAATATATCACACATTAGGTTTGGAGTATGTCTTGAATAATTAAGTTTGTTTTTGGAAAACCTGGAGATCCGAGTGGAGAACAAAGTTTATAAATCATCATAAAAGTTTTAGTTTGTTACAAGTCATCGAGTTCCCTGCCAACAAGTAATGATTCCCTGTTCATTTCGATATAACTTTAAATCAAATAGAATTCCATTCTCTTATCCATTACTGTTATGCGGCCGGAATACAAATCGTCAGACGTAGTATAAAATCAAATGTGAATCTAAAAGCATTGGATCCAATTCGTTCGATCTCGTGTCTTAATCCACCAAAAAAAAGTAAAACACAAAAGCGTGATAAAATGGGGAACGTTTCGTCGGTAAAGCAGCTAAAAGTTTTAACGAAATGGCCAAATTTGTTTTACTGATTTGCGAAAGACTTAAATCGCACATCAGCGTGGAGCGAGTGCTATTTGGATAGGATTCGATTTGTAGATAATTTAATTTTTTTTGGGGGAATTTAGAAAAGTTTGAAGCAAATAACATTACCTAGCCGTACCGAAACATTATCATTATTTAAATGGATAAATTGCTAATCTATGCTGTTATATGATAGATTCGATCACTTGGAATATAAAATACGATATTTTACTGATTCTACTTAATCGATGTGGTTCAATAATTGGTTTTAGACAAAATTTGAATTCGGGCGAGAAAGTAGCGCTACCAAGATCGACTACAGAAAAATGAGTTCCGGTGAGTTGTTTAGTGTTCATTTCGCATGCTTAGCCTTTTTAGTATTCAATTTTATTAAATCAACTTTATTCTATGTCTTGATTCTTAGTGTTTCAATTGAATAAAACCCCGAATAAGATCCCGAGCCCCAAATGAGGTTGTGACAATATTTTCCATTGTTCGCATTTTCAACAATTTGACAATTATCATTTTTTAAGGCAATAGGTACAGGGAACAGTATTTTTTCCATTTGAAGAGAGTTATTTTACCAGGTAGAGTTTTTCTTGCATAGAAAAGCTTCTAGTCTTCATTATATGGATAACTACATTTAAATGCAAGTTTATCATTTTTTTTTATATCGGTTCGCTCACGAAAGACTTCTCATGGTACCTAAGCGGTACCATCGGTACCATGAGCGGGAGAAACTAAGTAACGATTAACCCTCTATTTGAACACGTTAAAAGGTTAAATCGTTCAGGAAATGAAGTAGGAGGCAGGGCGATCCAGAGGTTCTCAGTACGCCATTAAAAAAAAGCCCTATATTTAGATGTCCTCCGAGAGGCTCATGTGGTTCTCAATTACCTTCTCCTAGCTGGAATGAGGCTGGTCAGATCGTCAGAACATCTCCCATGGTAATAGCGTCGAATAACGTAAAGTCGGCCACCTTGCGTCTGTTCGAGATTGCAATGATTCGGTGAGAGTTGGATTATCGATCCTTTTCATCGCTCTTCCTTGAACTGCATCTAATAGAGCCAACGAATGCTTGGGAGCATCACAGATGTGGGAACAGTATTCCATACATGGCCTAATTTGAGCCTTATAGAGAAGAAGAACTTGGTCAGAATTAAAGAAGCTGTTTGCACCAAACAGAAGAGAAGCGGTTTTGGCGATCGAAGGGTCATGCCACGACAAGTTGGTCGATGTGGTCACCCCACTGAGGGATTGATAGAAAGGTTTTGTCCCGACATCCTTAAAATTAGGTTATCATCGGCGCAAGATTTCTTATTTGAGAATACTGTTGCTTGAGTTTTGGAAGCACTGAATTTGACTGGGTTGTTAAGGCCGCAATTGGTATAATGGTCTCAAGATCACTGTTGAAAGAGTGAATCCGTTCTCGGGCGAGGCGTGTGGAAGTGGTTGCAGTAAGAAGTTTGTCAGAAGAGAAAGATGCTATCAAGCTTCCATAGTCCGCAAGGCTGTATATAGGGTATCTTGTCACATTTAACAAATCACTTATGAAAATGAGAAACAGTATATAGGGACAGAATTGATCCTTGGGGGATGCCGGCACTTATAGGCAGTGTATCAGAAGACACACCATCGACCAAAACATGCCTTCCAAAAAGCTCCCCAGCCAATGGCAAAATTCGTTCGATGGAATACGTTTGTGCCACACCTGATCAAAAGCCTTGGATATGTCCAATACTACAGTTCTAGTCCGCCATGTTTTTTGAGAAACATGTTCCAAATATAACTGACGTACGCTAGCATCAGATCCCCTGTTGATTTTTTAGAACGAAACCCGTACTGTTTGTCAGAGATGAGCTTATTGGCTTTGAGGTATTTAACCAGTTTCAGGTTGACTGCCTTTTCCATTACTTCCGAAAGTACGCATATAAATGAGTTGGACGATAATTGCTGGAAAGAGTTTTCTTGCCCCTTTTCGGGATGGGCTGCACTCTGACACATTTCCAGATAGCGGGGAAAACGAATCGGAACCAAATAAACCAAATTATGAGATATAACATGTACTTACAGGATGTTTTATTTAAAAAAAACTACCGCCTGTAAAAACATAAAAGTTTTCAAGTACTTTCTCTCTTATTATACGAGAAAACCCCTAATGGATAACCTATAATTAAATTTGCTATCATTGACGTATTAAATATACACATACTGAAAATAGAGTACCTATATTGAAGGTGAAGATGAGGTGTACACTTATGTTTTTTCCCCATGTTATTGAATGCCCATGAAAATTTTTGATGAATACTAATATTTTAATGACGTATAATATTTTATATTTTTTTAAATGTATGTTAATAATATTTATATAATAGATTTATACAAACTAAGCCTAGCAATAAAAAAATCTATTTTATTTTAGACAATAGCCTGCGAGTGTTCATTAACTATCGCGCCTCGTCAGATGGTCCAAATATCCTGATAAAAATATAAAAGCGAAACGATGTCAATATCGTCCAAACTAAAATGATCTCCCAGTTCCAAATCGAAAAATCTATTGGATACGACGCCTGTCACGATAGAGTTGCAATGAAAACAAATTGCACGAAGTGAATCACGAATTACAAAACTTTTGTTTCCGGTGGAAAGTTTTGGTAACGTTTCATGGGAATGTGTCTGCCTGATTAAATGATATTTTTCCCGAATTTAAAATAGATTCCGAGTTCCCAGCGATAATTTATTAGATAAGTTTTCAATTATGAAACTAGTTTTAACGATTGTATTGTTCCAAAATGTTTTTCACCAAATTGAACAAAAAAAACTGCACTCGAAAACATAAGAAGACAATCATTTGTATAACACCTTCCAGAATTTACCACAGAGACAAGTTATTATTGAAAAAAAAAAACTGGTAAAATAATATGTACATTAAATGAAATCAGTTTCTTCTCTTTCATAGGTCACATCTAAAAAAGGTATAAGCCTAAAGAAAATCTCACCTTCATTTAAACAAACTATTCACCTTAATCATAGACCAAAACCTACAGATAACTAATGGCTACATTTATCCCCCTAATTGACAACTCTCCAAATTAAACCAAGTAAAATAAATCACGTGACATAAATTTTCATTAGACTTTGTTATCAATTTCTTCTTCGTAATTTTGCTTTTTCTTTCGGGTATTATTTTTAAAATTTAAAGCAGAGAAGTTTAGTTCGTTCGTTAAACGTTTCATACATATTGTAAGTAATCTTCATATGATTTATATAGGACTAATTCAGGATGGCCGTGTTCGGTTAGCCTGAAAACTTAAAGTATTTCAACAAAAATCACCAATGATCCAGAACGATAGGTCTGAGAATTAGTTGTGATTTTTTCCAATGGTTGTTTGAGGTCAGTGAATAATGAGTGAAACTGTTGAGCCTAGCCAAACTGAGGTAGGCCACAGTTTGGGGTGTTACCCAATGACATATTAACACAGATAGACATTACAGTAAACAAAATTTTGTGTCGCCAACATCTAGGAGAGCGATCCACCTCCGGTGTATCCCCTCCAATTAGGTTGTCAAATTGTTACTGATTGATATTTTGTCCTGTAATGACTTTGCTTCAAAAAATTGGCGCTTTAAGATCTAAAACGACTACTGGCAACGCCGGTTTTGTGAAATAGGCGAAACACGCGCTGCAATCGATTGGCATGTCAAGGCGCCCATCGAGATTATATCATATGAGTTAGAGGCAGATAGATAGATTAACGAGTTTTACCCGTGCGCATGTCTTCATTATTCTGGTCAAGTGAACGGCGGGTTCAAAAGGAGAGGGACTTGTTTACACTTCTGATGCATCTTCACCATGACCCCCCTCGAGCAGCTCTCCTCTCCTGGCCCATGGGGGCCTTGTCATCAGAACAAACATCAGTTGATGAATGAAATGCGGTGTCTCTCTGGTGTTAAGATGTCATTGGTATTACCCAATTAACTCTTTCTGGTTAGTTTTCAGATTTAATTTACCGTGAAATAAAGTTGAAAAAATTTACTTACCGATAACAGTCAAATGAATAAAATGGCTTAGATGTGGTGTGGATGAAACTTGGCACTCGTAAACTCCCGAGTCCCGATGTTGGGGATACTTTATTTGAAGTGTCCAGTCTTCTGAATGTGGCTGGTGGATAGCGCGAAACCTCTGATCGCTAGTGTAAGTGTACCGACCAACGGTGAGTAGGTGTACGTCACGATGCCGTACCCAGGACACCTGAGGAGACATCTGTAATAAGTTAAAAAGGCCATGGCTTGTGCTTTTTTGCAGTTTAAGCATAAAGAAAATGAAGGTGGTGAATTCATTTAATACGATTATAATTATAAATGGTTTGGATGCAGTGATACTACTTAACAATATAATATAACTTAAAACTAAGAAACAATAAACAATAATCCATATACACAAACGAAGGGTTTTAGCTGATATTATTTCAAAAATGTAAGGCAAATTCTTATCGTGAAAAATCAGCCGGGAAGTCAGAACTGGCCCAAAAAAACAAGTTATGGCAACCCGACGAACGTGTTTTTGCTAATTGGTTTTATTAGGGCGAAGGAACATGTATTTGAAAAAAAAAACAAACCAAAACACAAAAACACCCTCTAAGTATCAAGAAATCAATCAAGCCTCACGGTGGAGCAATTGGTTACCATAACTTTTTTTTCAGCCTTGGCTGTACTTCAGTGTGGATTTCGTTATGTTCTCATTATTTATATAGAAGCTGTGAAAAACTTTCCTCTAAGGAGATTTCCACGTTAGAGGGATTTGGCTTCCCTAGCAGGCACATGCTGCTCTCGCATCCAGGGTGCAATGAAATTTCCGGGGATTCTGGTTGAAACCACAAATTAAATGTGCACTGCGTGCTCGTTTTTTGCCGCATATCTTTTATTTTCTTATGCAGAGAGACCTAATGAAATTAAGTCAATTAAAAGAAACTCGTGTTATCGGGTTACCATAACATTTTTTTTTTGTTGGAGTTCAAAACAAAACTCCGCAGTGGCTAGTTATATGAAAACATCAGCATTTATCTCCGGATGGAAGGCAGCGTACTCGGCAGCGTGTGTTTGAATGACAAAGAGGAACCTCAATTTCGTACCGCATGAACCCTTTGGTAACGGGTCGAACTCAATATTGAAATGTTGATAATTTAAAATTTTGTTTTTGGATAATCAAAACTGCCTGACTATGAAGTGGAAAAAACATAAGTCCGATGGAAGTTCTTGCAGCTGTTGTACAAAAATTAAAGTGTTTAAACATCTGAGCATTATTTTATAACAAAAACATAATTTTATATTGTAACGCACCTATCGTATTCATTTTCCGTTGAATCAAGGATGATATGTTTATTAGTTAGAAATGGCATATTATGTATCCAAATCCGCATTTCTACTCACAATTGTGAAAGTTTGTCGGGAGCAAGGAAAACTGGCAAAGTTTTCAAAGAATAACCGCTCACCCGGATAATTTACTATGGATATGCCCGCGGTTAGGCAGGATTTTGCTTTGAATGTTTCCTTTGTTTCGTCTAGAGCTCATGGTTTTTAGGAAATTCATTAGGGAACTTTTTCTTGGGTGATTACGGGCTAGTTTTTGACGGGATATATTAAACTTCCGTTGTTCTAGAACACAGATACGTGGCAATGTATAACAAAAGAAAAAAAAAAGTTACAGGTTACAAACCACAAAATACAAGGTAAGGGCTTTGTAGCTGCTCAAAATACAATTAGAGTTTTGTATATAGCCACGCAATATTTTTAGTCGTTTATACGGTCGGCGACTAATCTTTGGAACTGTAAACTAGTTGTTACTAGTGACGGCAACGGGGGAACATTTTGCAGGTGATAGTTACGTAAAAATTACCACCTTAAAACCTATACCGATACGTCGCACTCACGTGGCAGGGACGTAGCGACGTAGTCAGCGCTACCCTATAAGATTTTTTCACGGTTACTTTACTTAGGCTTATTCACCTTTTCTTTGTCTTACATATTTGGGAGCAGTTTAGTAGCATCTACCATCATTATTGAGCCTTCTGAACCATAATGGAAATAATATTTTTTTGTTCAAGTAAATATTATCGCTTGTGGGGTACACAAAACTTTGCTGATTTACGAGCTCCGAGTTCAAAGAAATTCAAAACGAATAAAAAAAATCTGTGAAATGTGATGTTGATAGATTGATAAAAACAACCCCTCGCATAATATACTATTTTGTAACATAACACGCAATGATAAAATTGGTGAAATGTGTTGAAACATATATTTTTTTTCATCATTTCTACTAGTTTCGCTTAAATTTATCTTTTTTTTTGTGATTTTCTGACGATTCCATAATTGTACTACTATGCAGGGTGGGCCAATGGAAACTTTCCACTCCGATTTTTTGGACTTGAAATGAAAATCTGGAAAAACGCTCGAACCCGTCGGTTTTTCATTTGACGGGGACCCATTTTTCAGTTTTTGTCACCCCTGTAGCTTTAACCCCCTAGCTGGGGGGAGAAGAACCCCCCAAATTTGACTAGGGGATAGGGGTCGTGTCATACCTCTTTTTAGAGGTGTCATCGAATTCTTCATGACCCTAGAATGTCGTCTTATTATTTAATTAGGGGAGGTAAGTATCGCTTTTACTCCCACTAAAACAAAAGTCTATTTCAGAGATTTTGACAAGCTGTCATTTCGTTACGGATAAAACTAATAGGACGAAATTATTGGGTCATAAAGAACTCAATGAGACCTTTAAAAAGAGGTACGACACGACCCCTATCCCCTAGTCAAATTTGGGGGGTTGTTCTCCCCAGCTAAGGGAGTTAAAGCTACAAGGGTGAAAAAAACTGAAAAATGGATTCCCCTCAAATCAAAAACCGACGTGTCCGAGCGTTACTCCAGATTTTCATTTCAAGTCCAAAAAATCGGGGTGGAAAGTCTCCATTGGCCCACCCTGTATGTACAGGGTTAGTGGTAATTCGATACATTCCTTTGGAGTTGTGATAGGGAATTAGGTAAGGAGTAAATTTAACCCTAACATGGCTTGCGCAAAACTCAATATTTTTTGATATATTTCAATGTTTCCGTTTTTCTTAAAAACATAGACCTATTGCCTTGGAAATTATTTAGCAAAACATCTAGCCTGCATTTTTTCAACTTTTCTACTGGATTACTTGCCCAACACTATGATCTTATATTTGTAATGAAACATATCCCTCAAATAAATTTAAACTGCCGCAGTATCAGCAAAAATGGGTAACCAAGAGAAGACACCGAGTGAATAAATTCTCTCATTTGCATCATATGTACTATTTTTTCTTTCGGAACCTACGATCATTTTTGGTATCGTTTGTACCTTGTTGGATTCCTATTGAAATAAGGAAGTTTTTTTTAAAAAATTTACAAACAACCGATAAGATATTCTGATACCGTACACGTAAGACCATAGTGTTCGGAAAGTAATCGAGTAGAAAAGTTGAAAAAATGTACTGTAGATTTTTTGTTAATTAATTTTCAAGACATTTGGGTCTATGTTTTTAAGAAAAACAGAAACATTGAAATATCTCAAAAACTATTGAGTTATGCATAAAGCATGTTACGGTTGAATTTACTCCTTACCTCATCCTCTATAAAATCTCCACAGGAATGTATCGAATAACCAATAACCCTGAATAAATATATTATATAGGTATATAAATATGTCGTAGGCATAATGCAAATTTAGGATTTTTTTGAACTGCCTAGGCATTTTACAGAAAGCCGGCAAAACGCGAGTATAAAATGCATTTTTCGTTATGCCGACACCAATCCAGGCAAACTGATAAAATGCCGGCAAAACAAGAACAGAAGAATATATATCATGTAGTGACTGATTAATTCTAGGCATTTCACAATTTGCTAAAACCGGTGCCGTCAAAACGTGAATAGATATAAAACAAGTCGACTTTTGTCGATTGAATAGTACATTAGGTATTAGGGTAATTATCTATTATCCGTTACCCTCTCCGAATTTGATGATTTTTTGTCATCAGGTCTATTATATATATCTTCTCTGATTTCGCTATCAATTTGTACAAGGTATATTTTTGGTCGCTGACCACTGATCTGAAGTATTTTTTTTTTTCTGTGGCTCGCGTTTCGTTTCCGAAATATCCATCATCGGATCTATTTTGATAAGTTATAAGTTTGTGTCGCAATTGGCTTTTGACGTGATGTTTATTAGCTATGTAATCGGCAATAGCGATATCAAGCTGGTAAGGATACATCATATTATTCATTGATTTGTGTCAAAGGTCGAGAAGAAGATTTTTGTAAGTTGTCATATAAGTAGTAGTATTGGTTCTAAAGTCTTATAGGTCCCAACTTTTTTTATTTCGCCAGTTATTTCATTTTAATATCACTTTAAGAATGGTTCCATTCGAAAAAAGTGCGGAATATTTAGTTTCATATTGTAATATGATAAAATTTTATTACGTTTTAGTTTCGGAAAAGGCATAAACCTACCTAATGCGCAACATTTTTTTATCAATTTGTCAGCGGTTTTTTATATTGCACTCACTAAGAACTAGGTGGACGGGTTAGCTTCCATATTTTTGGTTAGTTTCGTTACAGTTCGTTTTACTGGTTATAAGTGTACTGGTTGACAACAAAGCGCGCTTCGTAAAATATGCAAATAACCCGTCCACGTAATGCGTAGGTACTGGCGTCCTTGGATGGTGTTGTTGTACACTTATAACCAGTAATAAACGAACTGTAACGAAACTAACCAAAAGTATGCAAATTAACCCAAACTAACCCGTCCACCTAATGCGTACTAGCCCTTGTATGTTAATATTGATTTTATAAAAACCAAAACGGGCTTCGCGCGCTTTGCTTTTAACCAGTACACTTATAACCAGTTAAACGAACTGTAACGAAACTAACCAAAAATATGCAAACTAACCCGCCCACCTATTCCATTCCTTAGTAAGTGCAATATAAAAAACTGTTGACGAATTGATAAAAAAATAATGAGCATTAGGTAGGTATAGGTCTTTTCCGTAACTAGAACGTACTAAAACCAAAGTAAAGTTTACTAAAACCTTAGTATATTGTAGGAAACTAAATATTCCGCACTTTTTTCGAATAGAAACCATTCTTAAAGTGATATCTGAATGAAATAATTGCGAAATAATTCCATAGAAGTTGGGCCCTATAAGTTACTAGAACGAATATTACTACTTACATAACAACCTATAAGAATCC